TATATATGCTTGACAAAGGTTGATAACCAAAAACGTTCGCTCACTTGAATAAAATTATATATCTGGCAACTTATTACCATCTCTCCGGAGTTTTTGTTTTTTCTATCTTGTTTGCCAATGCAGCCCTCTAGTTTTTTATATATATATATGTATATATATGTATATATATATATATATATATATATATATATTAATAGATAAATAATAATAACAGTGCACAAATAGAAACATAAAATATATATTTAGGTATATTTATTTATTATACAAAAACAGTCCATTGCATCATACGCTGAACTGTGTGATTGGAAAATACAAAAGTACAAAATTGGCAATTACAAAATTTATAAATCATTATTAAAAAATATACTGCAATTTCAATTTTAGAAACATTAAAATTAGACAAATGACACGGCGGAAAATGTTGTATTTTGTAAAATGTGTTATTTTTATATACGTTTTCATAGACTATGAGTTTAATTCTTATTGGAAAATGTTCTACAAACTATTTACAACCGTTTACAAGATAATTCTAATGTACAAATCTTACCAGTATCGAACTTTGATTCCTGGTAACATTACATTTTCTAGGTACTCAAGCGATCTCATGGAAGTTAACAAAGAAGGAGAAATCAATCTTTTAAAGTCCATCACAAGTAATTTAAACAACGCAACTGAAAAAACAGCTATTAAGGTAATTATATCATCCCTATCGAATATAGACTAATCTTGATATCAAACAATCAAATAATTTCTATGTTGAGATAACAAACTTGAAAAATAAAATGCAGTTTCACATAAGCCCTCTCCAGACTATCAATTGTATTCAACGAAATCATGTGACATGCCTCAATATGTTCATGATGACATCACATTATGACTATATATGGGCGCATACAACATTTTCTTGTCAAAGTAAATTTGATAGCTGGACAGAGCTTTATTATGCTCATTCCTGATTATGACATAATTAATGTCGAAATACTAAATCCCAACAGTATTTGGAGTATATGTATTATACTTTCTTACTTGAACTTTATAATGTTATTTTGAACTGTTTTTCAATGTGACATATTGTATGTTGATAATTAATTATATTATTTATTTTGAAATTTATTGTTTCATGATGGCGTTAAACACAAATAATATTGAAACAAATCACTTGTATCAATGTCCGATTATAGATTGAAAAATCCAGAGCCGATTTTCTTTTCATTGCCGGAGAAGACGATCAGATTGTGAACAGTGCAGACTGCGCATCAAAACTGACTGAAAGATTAAGTCGCAATGGTCACCATAATCATACGGTCTTGACATATCCTGGTACTGGACATCTAATTGATCCTGGGTTATTACCAGTCTCCAACAAGACTAGACACCCATTTTGTGGTAAGATAAGTTTTGTGTTTCCGTGGATTTACTAAGTAAGCCTATATTCACAAAACCAAAATAGGCTAACTTATTATTAACATTACCCATTATATTATCAACATATCAGTTCAATAACTATTTATAAAAGTATTGAATTGTTTGTTTTTTGGTTCCAGATGATTTACTCATTATCAATGGAGGAAATTTGTACGACCAAGCAAAGGCGCAACGGCACTCTTGGGTTAGAGTTAAAGATTTTATGAAGGACAAGTTAGCTTACGCTCTGACATCACCGTTACAAAAAAAAGTCCTATAGTATCTGACTGTCAGGACTGGATGGCACCCAAAATAGATAAAAGAGACATGGTGGTAAAATTAGGATGAATTAATAAAATGTGACCTAGTTAATAAATACAACACCAAGCACCGTCGAAACCGCACCGGCTATAATGGTTGGACCACATTTTCTCGTACTTAATTTTAAACAACACTTATAGTCGGCCACATTATCATCACCACAAGGTATACGAGTAAAGCCGGCTCATTACTTGCAGCAATAACAATTTAAACTCTTAAGTGAATGACAGTCAACTTGTTTAAAGTATGAATTTTCTATTTTCCGGGCATCTAGAGGAGCCATTTTTTTTCTTCACAAATTGCTCCCCTAAGCGCAAACCATGGTGGAGCTTTGGTTGGTGCTGGTTGTATTCTCCTAACTTTAAATCTGATGTATAAAAAAGTATAAAAAAAAGCACAGTAATATTAAATCTTGCTATATGAGTAAGCCTACAGTATAGTACCTTGATATGCCATGTCTTGTAGCAATGGTTGATTCTTCGTGGACATAACAGAAAAAAATGTGTGGAACTGTCCAAGAGGAAGAATAAAAAAATTAAAAAGATTAAAAATTAATATTTGATATAATGAGAAAATATAGGCTTGAGCCGGGGCTTTAAGACAATCAGGGATGGTGAATCACAAAGTACAGTAGTTGAAGGCACCCCAGAGCGTTAGTAGAAGGCTTTCCTGAGCGGGATCGGACCGAGGGGCCATCAGAGATGCATTTCGCTATAACCGGCGACTTTTTGATCTGGTGAGTCGTTCGGGTAGTCGTCAGGCTTATGCGGCGGCTGTAAGGACGCTGGAGGGGGTGTCTATAAAACGAAGACCGAAGACTGAAGACCTCAAAACGAAGACCCCTATTTTTTCTCTTTTATTTTGATGATAATACACCAGGCTGTCACAAAATCAAAATTACGATTTTTTGGGCGTCTGTTTGGGAAATTTCAAGGTCTTCGTTTTGTAGACACCCAATATGGGTGTCTACAAAACGAAGACCGAAGACCCGAAAAACGAAGACCTCCAATTATTTCTCAATTATCTTATTGAAAGTATTTCAAAATCATCACAAAACAGTTGCCAAGTACCTATTTCATTATTTCTTCGGAAGAGGTGGTTTTATAATCTTCCTGGTTGGTGAAGACGGAAAAATTTCACCTTTATGGTGGAATTCAAAAAAGATAAGACGAGTAGTAAGAAGTACTTTGGCTGCTGAAACATTGGCAATGGCTGATGGAATTGATAGTTGCATTTTCTTATGTACATTATTGGGGGAATTGCTATATGGTAAACCCGATCCGACTACTGTTCCGATAACATGCTATACTGATTGTAAGTCCTTAATGGAGGCTATTAAGTCTGAGAAAAGTGTCACTGAAAAAAGATTAAGGTTAGATATGAGTGGTATAAAGGAGTTAATTGAGGCTAAGCAGATAACATCTGTTCAATGGTGTGACACTAAATCACAAATAGCAGATTGTTTGACCAAGAAAGGCGCTTCTAATAAGAATATGAGAAAAGTGCTTGATAATGGTTTATTACTTTAAAACAAAAAACAAAAAAAAAACAAAAAATAGTTGAATTTGATAATGTTTATGTTTATCTGACCCGAGGTCAGAGTTTTATTCACGTGATCCTTTTTGGCGGGCCGGCACTCGACGGTCATGGTCTCGGTGAGTGAATATAAATAAATAGTTGTGAAACAGTTATTCATATGATCTCTATTTATTATCTGTCATATATAACAATGTCAGTATAATTTCACACACAGGTTAGGCTTTATTAAGTTTTGCTTACCACCATACTTTAAATACATAACGAAATAGGTCTAGAAATAAGCGTAGGGCCTAGTTCTTTCATCAAGGCAAATTTTTACTTGGTCCGTCAAGGATGCTGTTCAGTGCATGGTGAAGGTCTATCAGTACGAACAATGTCAATACACAAAAAAGCGACCGTGATTCAACCACATCATATTAATAACAATGGTTGGAAACGGTTGTGGGGATCTCCCTGATTTTGTTGTTGTTTATGGTGATTGAGGTTTGACTATAGGTAGTGTGCAACATAAATGCCTTTCTTATTGTTCAATGTACATGAGTCATGATCCTGCCAAAAGTACTGATCATGCATGGTCAGTGCACTTTTTGCCTGCCCTTTGGCAACTCAGGAAATATTCATTGCAATATTTTTAAAAATTGTGGTCTTTCCAACTCCCTGGTTTTTCAAAAGTCAATGTTTTATGTAACTGAGTATACATTACTGTCATACAGTCTAACTAATATAATATTTTTCCAATATTTTTTATATAGGCTTATTAGACCATGTGTAGGTAACTGTAAGGCCTGTTTAAGCGAGACTTTATTTTATGCCTTGCTTAGCGAACCGCCGACTTCAAATATTGATGATTTCAAATAAAAATTAATTTTAATTTTTGGCCATTTAGCGCACCCGCTGCCACGAAAAAGAGGAAATTTTAGAGAAATATATTATAAGTTTTTCTTTATTTTTATTATGTCCTCCGCTGTCTTGAAATCTCCAAAGATAAAATGTATAATTCTCCCTAATTATATAAATTTGATATATTTGTAGCATTAACCATCCTATTTTACATTCATCAATTAAATTTTATTTTTATTTTCTCCTCCATTTGGATGATTTTGGCAAAACTATTTGCTAAATAAGAAAACAAAATTTTATTTTAATTCTTATTCCGCCTCCTCCGATAATTTAAAAAAAAGTAAGTACGCGAAAAACTATTAAATTGTTATTACTACTACGATTTTATTGTTTTTCCATGATTATGACATCATTTGAATTGATTTTTCAAAATATTTTGTTATCGTATACACGATAAATTGTTATCGAATCGCCCTAGTGTAAAAACTTCTTATCTTATTTTCTCTATGAACAATTGCTCTGTAGATTTTTATCGTTATCATTTAGTAGAGCTCCGCATAGTACACTATAGGAAAATTATTATACGAAGGTTAGATTTAATGCTGGAAAAAATTTCCTGAGGGCCTGCAATGCCGGAAGGAAATTTTTGAATGCATTAACTCTACTAATTGCTTTATAAGTCAATCGCTGTCTTTTAATTTTAGTTTTTGATAACCAACTGTTGTAGCAGTGATCGGTTGTTATAGTGATATGATCAGTATACGTATTTACATTTAGCTGTGCGTATGCTGATTTTTGCTCCGGCAATACGCGTTAACTACACATCAGCAGTATCAGTACGGATACTACTTTTTAATGCTATTTGATAGACATTCGTCAAAGAAACCATTTCAGCATTCAAGAGAGAATACAGTCACTGACCTTTTTGGTCGGTGCATGTAGACAGGTAAAAATCGTGCGATGTTCTCATAACTGCACCAGGCTACGGCCTACTGTAGTAGGAGGAGGCCTGGGCGGCTTCCTGCCTGACTATAGGCCTACATCTAAATTTTTTCCTTGAGTCTTTAAAATAGGTATACAATATTCCCATTAAACGTTCAGTTTATTTTGTTTATGAAGGTCCATTGATTTAATGAATTCCTTAATTGTTCATATTTAATATTGAATTGGAAGTAACTTTCTTCGAGTTCCTAAGCTTGTTTTACGGAACTAATTTTCAATTACAATTCAATTTTCATCGCGGTGCGCGATGTCTTCGCGGTGATGAAAAATTAGGAATTTTTTGTACACAAACCTAAAAAAAATCAAGCCAAGCGTTCACTATTGAAAAATTATTAGGCAAGCAAGGTGTTTGTGCAAGTATAGAGTGTACTAGATAGGTGCCAGGATGTACCAGTGTACAGAGACCTAGTGCACTGTATGGCTCTAGGGATTAAAAATTGTCAGTTAGCAAACAGTAGACAGAAAGGACAAAGGATGTGGTTGTGTAGGATCCATTTGAATAGGCACATACATCATACAGTTGCTACATTTTACAATAACATAATATTTTATGTATATTTAAGGCATTGCCACTTTTACATGTCATTGATTTTTGGTTAATGTAGGCCTATTGCACTGTGAAACTCATGGATGAATGAATGAATAAATCAATAAATATATAAAGAAAGAAAAGATGACTGAATAAATACAAGCTGCCAGGAACATAATCACGTTGGCTGCCATCGACGAGTATAATCGCCCACAGGGTGTTGCTGAGGGCGCCAGGAACGAGTATACTCGTCAAAAAACGGGGAGCATTCTAGCGTTTATAACTTCTTTATTATACAGTGTAGGACCACAGACTCAACGGCTGGTAGTTCGGGGAAGATACACCTAGACGATAACGTACAAATGACATGTATGTTTGTCGTGTTATGTTGCCGGTAGTACACTCGAGCGGTACAAGTGCGGGCGCCCCTTTGAACATATACCAACCCATGCAAAAAGAGGACGAGATAACTCGCACTTGGGCATAGTCAGTAAAAAGTTCTATCACATTACCATCGACGACTATACTCGCCCCATAATATTTTCTCGCCAATTTATTAGACACATCATTTTGATAATATATGACTAGATAAAATTTCAAAAAAGTATGTTTGTACATGTAAACTTGTTTTGGCACACGAGAAGGAACCGTAAAAAAAGGTCTGGCAGTCAACGTGTTAATCAGTCAAACAACCAATTAAATTTTCTGTGTTAGTGTGTTTCATTTGAGGAAAAAATGTTTTATTCCAGCAAAATAAGCCCATCAAAGCTTTACAATTTAATAGCACTTTATTTTGTTACAATTTGGTAATGAGTTAAACCCACATGTTGGGTATCATATTATGGGTCAATGTTGTCAATGCACCATGGGGCAGTTATTATTTTTCTTTTTTTATTGCCAATAGTTTAGCAATGTAATAGAGGATCGTATACTTCAGTTGCATACTACAGTATGTAAAATAGAGGAAATCCAAGGTTTAATCACCTAACTGGACACCCTATATTATGAAATTAGCTAAATTCATTAAAATGGCCAAACGGTTAATGCAAGGGTGCCACAACCTACAGCCATACATAATATCGGCGCTGGGTTTGAAGGGCACGCTCGGCTATGGTCCTGCTGTAACAAGTCTCAGATAAGGACTGTAGGCCCAGTGTACACAATTGGCTCATGTGCACTTTAAAGGACACAGTATATCTTTCGAGATGAGTAGTGGGTTCCCCGGTGTACGAGTTGGTTCATAGCTTCTGTTGTTTTGTTGTGGAATTGCCTCTTCGAAGAGTGATTTAGTTCACTGTCTTTCATATCCTTGGCCCTAGTGCCTAAAGCTGAATAAAAACAAAATAACAAAATAACAAGAATACAATGCCAGCACATCCATAAGCAAATTTAAGTGCTTTTTTTTTCTGGACCCCAATCAAAAAACCTTGTCAGTCCCAAACATTGACACCATTTCCTGACTTACTAAATCATGTTCAGTTAGTTCTATGGGCCCTATGGTCCTATTTACCAATGTTTGCATACAAAATATGGTATTTATTCAAATAAATGCCCTGCTTTGAATGAGTTTCCCCTCTCCAAAGCCTCATCTGGAATAAACGCCTCTTGAAATGCCCCAGGACATTTATTTTTTCCTGGAATAAATACCCCTAAATGACTGTAAACAAAACTAATAGAAGCAACATCATTCTCAACTGATTCTGTTAATGTTGTAGAAGCATGTAGCGCAGCATGTAAGTGTTGGACTTTCAACTGGAAGAAGGTCGGGGGTTTGAGACCGATGCTCATCACACTGCTTGTGTCTTTGGATAAGACACTTTATTAGCATTTGCCTATTCTCTATTCACCCAGGAGTACAATGGGTACCTGATAAGAGGTGAATGATTCAGAATGACATTAGTGCTGAGTTACACACATAACTAGGAATACTCCCCAGGGAGTGGAGGAGGTTGCGTGTTATGTATGATTGATTCTGTATTCAATTGCCAGGAAAAAAGACACCTTAAGTAGTTTTTCAAATAAACACTTGTTTGAATAGTCATGACATATAGTAATCCTCAGATTGAATTACTTTATGTATAGATTATAGACAGGAATATCATTAAATATGTTTTTTTTTTTAACTTTATGTAATTCATAGTAAAAATGGAGTTGGAAAGTCAAAATGAAGATCCAAATGAAAAGAAGTCACCAGAAACAGAAATTGAAACACAAAGGTTTGTACATTTAATCCACTAAAATAAATTTGAATCCTCTGTACATAGTGTCAACGTGTACTCATAGGCAGGGCGACAAAAGATGTAACCCACACTCAGCTATTTTCTTGATGACTGTCAGTTTTGTGGAAACAACATCTAAAATGCAGGGCCTACAATATTAGCATGGTTCATAATACAAGACATCAATTGAAAATATTTAGGGTCATTCATACTACACTTGCCGGCTATTACGCATAATGCGCGAGTCTCATGCTTGAGCCTCTACTGTATTATCTCATGCATCATAACAATTGACATGTCGACAAGGGCGCGAAGCCCCGCCCACAAAGTCACGAAAACCTTAGACAATGGCGGCTAGCGACTTACCGAGTTGGCAAATATTTTCTTTGCTATCAACCTTCTTTAAGAAAGAGAATTCAGGGTAGGCTGTATGCAAATGAATCATATATTCATAGTGTTAATCTATTTCATGGAACAGGCGGGGAAATTGTTGTAAAAGCCTCTTCCCAAAGGAAGTGGGGAAAGCCGCATTCAGTTAACCTTGTTGTCAGCAAAAGCCAAGTCACTGATGCGCACTGGGCTTGTGTAAATCTGTGTATCTATAACAACCAAGTATAGACATCTAGGCCTAGGCTCAATGTATGTTTCACGTTGACAACCAACTGTCTAAGGAAATTAAAATGTCCGAGAAAAAGTTTTTGATCACATGACTAAATGATGCTCGCTGATTAGTCGGTTTATCTGTCAACCAAATCTCATCGAAATGTTAATTGTATTGGCTAATTATACACTAAAATTCTTTAATTATATTTGAATTGAGGACTTAGCATTTATTAATAAAGTTATAGAGCTACTCAATAGCTTTAAAATGACACCAAAATCAGCTCTGTAGGTGCCACGCTTTTCGAGATATGGTCGGTTAAACACGCAAGGTATCGCTAATTAGCCAAAAGTTCGTTAGCAGATATCTCGCTAATTAGGAGGCCTAGAGAAAAAAATTTTCATTTCTGATCATTTTTCATGGGTCCCAACAACATACAAAAATTTGAAAAAATTCCGAGAGATTGAGGTTTTTTTTTGGTTGATTTGACATGGAATTACCCAATTGTATTGGCTAATTATACACTAAAATTCTTTAAAATGAAGTAAATTCATTATTGAAATGTGAATACAGGCCATATAAATTTCTTATAACGAAGCTATACCAACTGACAACTGTAATCAGTACCAGTTCCACCACTACAATTAAAAAAAAAAAAATAACATAGTGCCCGCTGTATTTTGTAGAAGGTGCTATATACAAATTTTATTTTGTTTGCTCGCACATCATACATAAAAAAATATTATATCACACTGCTCCCATTAGTGTTTGCAATTAATTGTAGTAACAGACAAATTTCATTGTTATGATTAGGTCTCCCTCTAAGTAAAGACCCCTCCAATTAAAAACCACTTTTCTGTGGTCCCATATTAACAAAGGTCTATTATCTTTATTATTCTAATAAAGAGACCAAAGCTGCTAAATACCATAGAAACCTCAGTCCCAAAAGTGGTCTTTAAATGGAGGGAGACCTGTGTCATTCTGATAAGTAATTACTATTATTTGTTCTTTTTACATATTTTTGATAGCAATGGGGCTGTTGTTCCTTTAGTTGTAATTACCAGTGGGACTTCTTTTATGAATTGGTAAGTACACAGCTAAGAAGTTTACTCACTGCATACAGTAGGATTGTTGATCAAGTATTTTTGTGATATTAACAATCTTAACTTTTTTAAAATCTTTTATTTAATTGTTATAGTAGCTTATATTGTAGTAGATTTAATTCATACTTAAACAATATTATTACTTAATTACAGGTATTCAAAAATATTGAGTAGGTTTTACTGGGTTGTTATGCTGATAATATTCCTATTGGTGGTAATATGCGGTGTTATAGTCGCTGTTATAGCTCGTTTTCCAAGTTTTGAAGACCCTATCAAGGTAAGAACATAGTACATTACATTACTGTACACACATATATAATGTATTATATATTATTATTTATAATTATTATAATTATATATTATTACATGTATTATATATAATATATATATATATATATATATATATATATATTGTATATATATTGTATATGTACATATATATTCAATTTACCCAGTATCGCATTGCAAAATGTGACACGTTTTACACTATAAGTGAAGCCCTTCCATAATTGCATCACAAACTAAATGTGATGCAATTATTTGCCTAGAATTAACCACTCAGTCTTCAGCAAGGCCGGGCTGTAAAAACTAAGAGGCTTGGTGCACAAAAAAGTTTTAAAAAACAGTCAAAGTCAAGTTGTTATCCAATGTTTTCGGCCAAAAATAGTGCAATATGGTATGCTTGTTTACATCGAGTTCACACATACAATGCTCCCTACATGTACATAAACCATTGTTTTACTTAAATACTTCTAGTGTTGGAAAAAAAATACGCATCGCTATGATTTTCTTATTTCTTTTCTTTAATAATTATTCACTATCACCGCAGAATAAAATGCTATGCACAATTAGGCCTGTGGTAAATGGTATGAAGCTATCAGGTATTAAGAAATTGCTGGTTTGATTAAATCTGGTCTGTATGTAAGATGAAATTTAAAAAATAAAAAAGTAAATTATTTGATAAATAATTTTCCAATTATAAGTAAATACATAAACACAGCCCCTGGGGCATGACCACTAACAACATTTTAGGAATGATCAGGCATGTGAACATGACTCCTGTTTTATAGACAATGGAAATTTGCCAGTTAGGTTTGTACGCAAGTATACATAAAGCACAGAGTCTGAAAAAGCCTTGGAAGACTTGTTCATTGAGTAGGTTTTACTTTACAAAAAATAGCTTGTCTTGTCATAAGGTTACAGTATCCAACACAGGTGTGTGTCGATGATACAAAAGCGTTATCTGATCAATTGACTAATTGACTCTGGATGCATTGGAAATACTAATGAAGCCTAGAGGCAAAATGTTGAAACGTTATTTTAAAAAGTTCGCATCCGTGTTCAGAAATAGAAATAGAGGAAAGAAAACAGGAAATATCTCTTTAACATACTTGCTCTTTTGGCCTGTGAAAATCACACCTAAATATATCTATATATAACTATCTACCTATACCTATATATAAATTATACGGATTGTATATTTAAAAAAGAAATGTTTATATAACTAACATTTGTTAATACGCTGGATGTAATTTCGTATTTCGTATTTTAACATTCTCTTTATCTAAAATACTATGTAAAACTGCCTAAAATACAAAAAGAAATATACTTGGCTGGTATGCTCAGCTGGTGTAAAATGGTATACTATGACTCAAATGTCCAGTGTACACATCTGGCTTGTGTGCTTCTGGCTTGAAACGTTATTTTAAAAAGTTTGCATCCGTGTTCAGAACTAGAATTGGGTTATGTTCACACACACGGCATAAGGCTGGTGTGGCTTACGCAAGGCGTAAGCTAATCCACGGATTAAAATGCCAAGGTGTTCACACGAACGGCGTTCGCTATTAACGCCTGGCGTTAAAAACGGAAGTGCGTCAGCAGCATCCTCCGGTACATGATGATGGGAAGAGGAAGACTGGTCGCATTGTTATTATTTATACTTCCATGGTTGTTGTACACGCTGTTTCGATCGATTATGTTGATAAAGTGTAGCTCATGAGTTAAATTATGTAGGCCTAGAAACTGTGCTTGTTTGCTTGGTTTTGGTCAAGTATATCATTGTAGTAGACAACTTCGCCGTCAGCAACTGAGGAGGGATCATCTTTGGCATTTAGGAACGAGCAGGAGTCGACATTCTGTATGATCTGTATGATTTGCTTATCCAAAACAATAGACCTACACTCTCAAAATAAAATTTCTCGAAGAAAAACACCGTGAACTGTTCGCGCACTTTTGGTTCTAGCAGAGCTAGGCTAGCTGATGTTAGCATAACAGGTCTGTTTAACCCGGCATAGAGGAATAACAGCCATTTCCAGTTCTAGCCCGAACAGGTGTTAAACGCGGACCGCCTGCTGATATTCACTGATAACCTAACAATGCAAATTGCAGTGTTTTAGAGGAGCAAAAGCAGCATGCCTCAGCAGCAGGGAGCATTTTTTTCTCACTTAATCCCCTTTGATAATTTCAACATGTGCCAGAAGTAAAGTCTGTTTAAATTTTCATGGTCCCTGCTTCTTATACAGTTTATTTCTAAAAACAAAAGTGAAAACCTTGATAAAATAAATTATTTCTATTGACAGCTAGCCTAGAATCCAGATTTTTACCTTATTATATACGTCTGCCACATGCATACATGATTGTGGCACCACTGCTAATTCGTTTAACAGTGGTAGTAATTTTTTCTGTTTTTAAATTACAATTGTCTAACGAATAAAAGTTTATTCATGGTTTACACACCCAAAATGCACATCTGCGATTTATTGGGAGTTTGCAATGTACTGTATGCATTATTGTTGTTGTAGCTTCTTCAGTAATTTCATTACTTGATAGAGACAACAACATTATGCAGTGGACGCCAAAGTCTGTTTTTTAAAAATGCATGGGTTGACGCAAGGGTCCTGGGCAACTTGATAGAAACTCATCATTTGCATAACACCTTAGGTTTTACGTCCGAGGTTTATGGTTTTTTTTTTAAAGCCGAGTTCTGCACGAACCGGTAGACCACCCGCGTATACAATACCGTTAAGAACCCTATGTAACTCTTTCCCGTTCTCGCCCGAACACACCCTATGTCTGCTACACTAACATAGTCACAAACCACGTCTATGCAATTCACCACAGTTATGCTGCAAGTTACAGGTTATTGACATGTTTCTTCATCAGAGTTCAGGTGACAAAAAACTCAAGCCTAAATCCAACAATAAAAATAAACAAATAAAAAGGAATGATCGCATTGGATGAATAAATAGGGAACATTTTTTGCTCATTTTTATGTATTATTTTTTGGGTTTTCTTTGTATGCAGTTTCATTATGCCATTTTTTACATCAGTTCCTGACATTAACATTTAATTAATATTACAGGGTTTTGAGCCACGTGGAACAGTTATTAAGGATCGCACATTGAGTTATGTGAACTTAAAGCGTGACCCTCTTATACAATTATATGGATGGACCACTGATAATGAACAAGCATGTGATGAGGATGGTATATTTGAAGAGCCCAACAATAACACCAGACAAAGAAGATCTGTAAATGATAATATACAGGCATTTAATAAATGTTATTATGAATGTTAGTATTATCTTGCTTTCTTTTTTAAAGTAGCTTGCCTGCTCAAAATGAACTATTATCATTATTTAGGTGAGACTTTTTTTACACCTTGTTTAGCAAACCTGTTCCCTGCCAATAATGATGATTTTGAATAAAAATATAATTTTATTTTTGGCCAATTATTTATTATTTATAAAGTTTTTCTTTATTTTTATTACACCCACCACTGCCTTGAAATCTCCAAAAATAAGATATGTATATTTCTTCCAAATTATATAAATTGAAAGCATTTAACCATCCCATTTATACACTGTTTATATTCAACAATATTTTTTTTTTTAAATTTTCTGCTCCGTCTGGATGTTTTTGGCAATACTGTTTGCTAAATAAGAAAACAACATTTTATTTTAATTTTTTTTTGTGCTTTAAAGTTTATTACCCATTGCATTAACAAATATAATAACAAAACCAGTTTGGTTTATCTCAATACACATATAGACTTCCTTATACCTGTACTGATTTTCAACCAATTTATTTTGTCTATGTAAATAGTACAGAACAGTATTTATGCATCTGCTAAAGATATTATACGTTATGCCAAAAAATCTGGAAAACTTCCAAAATCCATAAAAATTAAGTAACTTATATAAGTGATTATCTTTCAGTGAAAAACAAATTAAATCAAATATTTTGTGATTATTTATAGATCTGTTACTACAAAATCCTTAAATTGATTACCATGGCCAATTTAAGTGTGTATGCAAATAATGTAGGAAATTTTTATCATTTATATATCAGTTGAGGTGGGGTTTCAATTCTTTGCTGTGCATTTCGCTTGTGTCCCTGAACAAGGTACTTTATCTACATTGTTTCAGTCTACCCAGCTTTATCAATGGGTACCAGCAAACTGCTGGGAGTATCCTGCGGTGGACTAGCATCCCACCCAGGGGGAGTATCACACTCTAATCCGCTTCACGCTACAGAAAATGGGAATGAGCTCCAGACCCATGAGCGCCTTGGTTCGGCAAGGATTTAACTTTTAAATGGGAAAATTGAAAGCTTATTATTTAGTTTACATAACAACAAACTAAGCAATTCAGTGTTTTTAGCATATCACAGATGGGAGTTCTTTAATCTTCTAATGCTCTGGTTTTCGAAGTTCTTCATACTAGCATCCATTTTTAAGTTGCTCAGAATGTCGTGGTCCCATTGGTGCATAGTAAGGGAAAGGTTTTGGCTCAAAAACACCCTAAACCCCACCACAATTGGGGGTGATGAGAAAGAATTATATTATATTGTGCATGTACATGTTCAGAAACATTAATTTCCTACTTTACAATTATGCTTTTTATTGCCTGAATTTTAGTTTTAGTCTTCAAAAATATCAAAATTCAAATGAACACACTCATTACAGTATCATCAGTTAGTGGAACTTCGGGAAAATGAAGTAAATTGGCCAATTTTTTGTCAGGTTTAATTTAATTTTTATTTTAAAAACAATGATAATCAGAAGAATGTATAATCCTGTGATATTATTTCTCTCTTCACAGTGACAAATTGTGCAGGCATTGTGTTTACTTCTGAAAATGATGAAGGAAATCTACTCACGCCTAGCAACCTAAAAACAATTTGCTCCATCAAAGTCATTGGTCCATATGAAAGCTATAAACTATGGTCAATTGGAGACTACTTTGGGCACCTTGTGAACAAATCATGCTCCATGCTGGATGAGGGAAGTATAACATCAGCTTTGAGCCATCTGGAGATATGTGCTCCTTACTTTTACAGAACTACTAAAGATTACGATGGCAAGGATGTATCATGTTTACATCCATCATACTCCTCTTGTAATGACATCCCAGAATCATGTAAAACTGGAAATATTGTGTTCAATATTTTGAACGTCATGACAGATACAAACTTTATGCCAGCAGACAGACTAGACAACAAGATACTCCGCAGTACAATGGCCTTCATGAACCTCAACACCTACTACGACGAAGATGTGCTGGAAGCTATATACAAGGATTACTTTAAGAAGAGTAGTCGTGTTTTCAACAGTGTTAAAGCAGTAGCCTTGAATTTTAACATAAAATATGATGTTTTTAATAAGTCCTTACTGCATGATACTCTTTACCTTGGGCTAGCAGCACTATTTGTATTTATACTTATTTGGGTTTATTCAGGGTCATTTCTTATTTCAGTTGCAGCTCTATTTAATATGATCTTCTCCTTGGTAGTAGCTTATTTTATCTACAAATTTGTTTTCGTCCTCAATTTTTTTCCTTTCTTAAACGTGTCTGCAGCATTACTTGTTGTTGCAATTGGTGCTGATGATACATTTATTTTTTGTGATCTTTGGCGAGAAGCAAAGAGTACAATGAGTGCTGGGTCACAACGTCATTTAGTTTTAAGTGAAACAATGCAACATGCAACTATCACTATGTTTGTAACTAGTTTCACAACAGCATCAGCATTTTATGCCAGTGCTTTCAGTCCTATCATAGCAATTAAGTGCTTTGGAGTATATGCTGGGACTGCAATCATGATCAACTTTATCCTCACTATTTCTTGGCTGCCAGCAGCCGTAATGTTGGATGATACTCTAAGGTGTAACTGCTGCTCATTTTCTAAGCTCTGTCCAAATATTTTTGACAGGCTAGCCAGCTCAACCCTACCAAATTTTATAATCAAGTTAAGGTTCATATGGATTTTTCTTTTCACCTGTCTAGCCATTGCTGGTTGTGTGATTATCTTTTTTGTTCCGGGGTTGCAGAAGCCAACAAGCTCGGAGTTTCAAGTTTTCAGATCTAGTGATCTTCTAGAGCAGTATGACATTATTTACAAGAACAAATTCCGATTCGAACAGAATTCATATTTCATTCCTGCTGGTATTTTGTTTGGGCTTAAAGCTGTTGATAACGGAGGGAAATGGGATCCAGATAATACCGGCTCAGTCGAGTACCAATCAGGTTTTGACATCTCTGCAGAAGATTCGCAAATATGGCTTCTGCAGTTCTGTCGAGATCTGCAGAACCAGTCTCTCAAATTGGAGGGTGCAGCAATCTCTGGTTGTTTCATCGATGATTTCGTAACATTCATGCAGTCCCCTTGTCAATGTAACCTTACTTTGTGTTGTGATCAAACAGCTTTTCCATATCCTTCTGAACTTTTCAAGATGTGCTTGCCAAGTTTCTTACCATACCCAGAAGCTGGTGGCCTATATATTTACCAGGATAATGACATTAAAGTTCTGGAGATTTCATTCACAACCACAAGACCATTTTCCATGGAGTATTCAGTGATGGATTCTTTCTGGAAAGAAACCGAGAAATTGATGGAAGATAATGTGGTCAATGTGCCAGAAACGCTAAGTGTACCGTGGTTCATACCACCGTTCAGCGTGTTTGCGTCAGATTACTATGATTTTTTAGGATTCTATGATCTGCAAGACAGCCTAGCTAGAAGCACTCCTATATCCATCATTATTTCTATCGCTGTTGCCAGCGTGGTTCTTCTTTTAACACAGCGAAACATTCTTATTGCTCTTTACTCCATTCTTTCTCTATCAGGCACTATTTTCACTACCATAGCTTTTCTTGTTCTTCTTGGATGGGAGTTAAATATCCTAGAGTCTGTCACGTTTACCATCACTGTTGGGTTGTCAGTTGACTTTACTATCCATTATGGTGTTGCATATATTATTTGTCCAGAGTCAGACCGCAAGTCAAGAATGAAGTACTCGGTTAAAAACATGGCTTTAGCAATAGTCTTTGCAGCTTTTTCAACATTCTCTGTAGGTGCATTCATGATGGCAGCAACTGTCCTAGCCTATCAACAACTTGGAACCTTCTTGATGATTGTTATGGTGACTAGCTGGCTGTTCTCTACATTCTTCTTTCAATCACTTTGCTATTGGATAGGACCTGAGGGATCAAAGTTCAAATTGCAGTGCAAGAAATAAGTATCTGTGGCTGCAACTCATGGTATTCAGTGGCAGCTCCAGGAATTTTAAATAGAGGGGGCTCAGAAAGGGACTTTCAACAGTCTATACTACCTCAGGCCCACCATGGTTGGGAAGAAAATTTATGATTATGGCACCTCTAGATGGCCTGAAATGGCACTCCTTGAAAAATTTAGGGGAGGCCTGGGCCGGCTAGCGCCCCCCCCCCCACACTTGAATCCGTCACTGGTATTGCTTATTTAGAGCTAAACTGTCTTGCCTGTTGTGATTTTTAAATGTTAAAATATACCAAAAGGCCACCTTTCCTTCACTTTGAAAATGAATGTCAGAGAAATACAAGGGAACAAATTTATAGTTCAATGTCAATTTAATTAATTAATTAAATTGAAATAATGTCAGTTATTGATACTCTAGTGATGCAGACGCATGTTCTATCTGATGGTTATGATAGTGTGTCAGCATTAATTTTATTTTATTGGGTGAATTCCTGCACATTTATAATCGAAACGGTACTAGGTTTTTGTGCTTTGAACAGGTCTATACATAGGGAAAGTGTACCTTTTTAGTTATGATTGCCGAGGTCGAAACTATTTTGTGGTAATAAATTATATTAACAGCTTAATTGTATTTAATAATTTATATGCATATACTGTATTTGGTTGTATACTGGTTTGTTTTGAGATCGATGAGTGTAATTATCATTGGCAGATCGATGGAGGGGCAAGAAAGGTTCCCCGTCAGTAAAAAAAAAAAATCACTAACAATGTGCGAGCCCATAGACAAGATAACAACTTCCCAAGGGGTATGGCCTCCTGGACCCCCTCAATAATAAGTAAGGGAACACTCCTGAACCTGCCTCTCTCAACCTTTGGACTTGGGTCCTTTACTGGCACTCGCACTCGCACAAACCCAGCGAAAAAAAAAAAAAAATACGCCACTGTGTACAAAAGTATAATTTATATTATTCCATTGAATATTTTAGTTTGAATTATAGTTCATGAATAGTCTGCTTATAATGTTAAAAAGTATATATACTTCTAGTGCAATTTCTATAGTTATATTTTTGTACACAATATTATGTTGATGGAAAAAAATATAGGCTATGTACAGTATATCTGAAGTAATAGAAATTTTATTAATAATCTATGTACACATTTGTTTGGAAAAAACACTGTCTTGCCTTAAACATGGCATACTTTATTATAAAATATTTAATCTGAAATATAGGTGCAATTATCAAAATTTAGTCTGGCGCAAGGTTGCATGGTATGCTTCATTTGCTAGTGTTTTCCATGGAGCTGCTGAATCTCCAATCTTCGCCTAACATGCTGTAATGGATCTAGGACGGTTTGCTTGTCCGATATGGGCTTGCAAAAAAAAATTCCCATCCTGCTACCATTACCACTAACAACATGTAGTTTTGTTGAGATTTGTATAAAGTTTATATTTTTAAACTTGCAGGTTTATTACTTTAGATTTTAATTTTACGTTTAGAAATTTATTGTTGTATTCGCAATAATTTAAATTCCTAGTTTGTTTTGCAAAGTTTTAAACTTGTTGTAGTCTATATTTGTTCAAAATAAATGCGTGTTGTGTGGAATATTGTCTCAATATTATTGGTAGAATTCTGCAATGTTGGCCTATTTCTGTATAGTATTAGTTTTTTTTTTATATTATGTGTATAGTATCATAATTCTATGTTATTTGTACAGCACCTGCACAAAGTTCCAATAAAACCTCTTCAGTCATAATAGTGGTTTCATTGCAGTCAATACAGTGTGTAGCTGTCTCACCACCTTTTACAATGAGAAAGGCTATCAAATTTATCGACATGTGGGACACAGTTTAGTAATATTATGCAAAATATCTAATTTGCAAACAGCACATCTTAACATGTTACTTCATCAAGGAATATTAATGACAGCAAAAAATAAAAATTGTTGGTGTACTGTACTGCAGTGTAGATCTCTCAAAACTGTTGACTGGGTAGCCAGGACCCTGTAATATCAAGTTTTGTGACAGATAGCAGACAGATCACATTACACACTTGCCCAAATATGGGTAAATCGGTTATTTATCACTGAAACAGTATTGTGGACAGATTTACATCTGTGACACCAGTACTATCCCAAGACAGATGTCGATGTGCAGTTGAACTTCTTAAACTGGACAGAAAATCTATACAATTTATATGTCATGAGTCTGTGGCAGTGCCTGAGGAGGGCCAGGGGAACAGGCCCCCAATGGACACCCTTCGGAAAGAGGCCAATCATTTTGTTGGCCGTAGGCGGGGGCGACAATACTTACAAATGGATTTGAGAAAATTTTAAAAATACACTTTTTTCAACTTGTTATTTCACAAAATTGTAATTATTGCTGAATGCTATAGCATGCATAGTATTTTATATTTGTCAGCTCTGTTATCTACTCTCAACTCTGTTATTTATTTGTTATTTACAGACCTACAGATGTAATAGACATCAAACGTCGGGTCCCTAAAAACACAAAATATTATACATTCAAATAGAATATTCATGAATGCATTCAAGAAATCAAATTTATATAGGGCCCTCAAGATGCTACTTTATCTAGGCCCCTGCACCAGCAAATTTCAAAAATTCACATTTAAAACCTATTATGAACATTAAAATCATTTATAATTATCGTGAAAATCTGGAGTATACATTGCATTTTTGCTAGCTCTTCTAACCCAGGCCCGTAGCCAGGGGGGTTTTAAGGGTTCGGGCGAACCCCCTTTTTCAGCGAACCCCCCTTTTGCCAGCCAGCGAACCCCCTTAGCCAGAAAACGATCCCCCGTTTCCAAAATAGTGCAATTTATTACAAAGTGGGAGAATTTTTGGCACTGTTTATTTGTCGCTATCGATCGTAGTCCGATCGTAAAAATCAAAACAAAGCTGCAGCCAGCTGAATGACGTAATCAGCAACATTACATAGTAGCATTAAAATGTTAAGCATTGCTTTTTAATAAAAAAAAAAATAGTTTGTTTCACAATAAACATTTACGATCTAAATCCTGTATTGGAAAAAGTAGTCTTTTTAAATAGAATAATCACAAATTTTGGGTTTCAGAAATCCTGTTGTACAAGGCTCTCAAAATGCAACTTTGTCGGGTCATACAAGGGCCTCACCCTTAACCCCCAATCGACCCCAGTCCATTTTTTTTATATCCTCTTGATTCAGTAAAAACGTTCCTAAATGCTTTGGTCACTAGCTATAGTATAGTATATTGCATTATATGGCAGTTCTCCAAGCTGTTGACTTAATTTAATAACTTTGGTACAAAATTTGTTGGAAATTATCAGTTCCAGTGATTGGAAATGGATTCATTATGAATAAGTAATTGATGTAAAGGACATAAAAATAGATGATAAATCCATTTGTAAGGCACCCAAAATACTAATTTATTGGAGCTTCCGGGGGCCTGGTCTCCACCCCCACAGGGGTCCTAGGCTCCCCAGTCTGAGGTTCGTCTCGCTCGTAAAACGGACCTCCCCATCAAAAATCCTGACTACGGGCTCCGTAGTCCTGACTGCTCTGAAAACTCATTAATCATCTGTACTTTCCACAATTTTTCTCGCTTTTTAAAATGTTTGGAAGGACTGATAAAGGAAGATTAATTGCACAGCGGGTGATGGTGACATATCTAAAGAGAACAAGTTTATCAGCTGATCGCCTTTCCCACTGTAATCAGTAGATACAAAATAAAAAGTAATTTAAGCAACAAAATATCATATAGTTTTTTAATTTTCTCACTTGTGAAAAAACTTGTTTGCATCATTGATTATCAACCACAGTGGTAGTTTACAAACAATTACCCACAATCCTAGAATATCATACTCCTGACATACCTATGTACAGTATAGTCACTAGAGAACAAGTTCTTTACACAAATACATTTTATTGCAGTGTACAACAGTGCTTATAATCATAATAGACAAGAAAACATACAAGGTATACATTTCTGAAGAAATCTCACCTAATATTATTGAAATTAATTTATCCTACAATGACCTACCCAAAAAACAAAAATCACATTTTATAGAAAAAGTATCACTCATGTGGTCATTATGGAATGAATAACAATTAATCACCAAATACAAATTAATATTATATGATTAATCATTATACATCATCTCTAAATCTTTTGATAAATTGCTTAAAACTATACAAACATGATATGTCTTAATAATAAGCATTCACTTACTAAGCATTTCAGGTAGAATCAAGAAGTTGTGGTACAGCAGTATATCTTTTGATGTTTAATATAGGTGTGCTTTTTTAAGAACAGTATTATCATTTAAAGTGTTATCAATAAATCCTAAAATTCACTTTATCTGCATACAGATATCCATTTGCCTAAACAGCATTAGCAAAAAACCCATAAAAAAGGTAAAGACTGCCCCCTCTACATATCAGTTAACTCCCACATACCCCCCACCCCCAAAACCCCTATACCTAAATTCCAGGATTCATTGCCAACTATCAAACGGCCCATGCATATCAATCAATAACAGGGCAAAAAGCCATAAATATTTATTTCAAATTTGAAAGAATGAAAGCTGACCCTTGGTCTTGGGTGACTTGGGCTTTCGCAACACAAACATTTTCGGGTCTTATTTACAGAAGACAAAATGTAGATGCATTTCTGGTTTAAAAAAAATTACTTTATACATTTTTAGAGGCTTCTCCATAACTGCAGATTAATAACTAAACAAAACAAACCATAAGATTAAGCCATTATATCATGACACAAAATGCTCCGACAATTAAAATTTGTAACAAATGAGATGTCATGCATAAAATAAATGCATACATTATATTTTTATAGTATTTTGATTTTCTATAAAGCTTTATCTCTTAGATAAACAAAATGCTGCAATTATTAAATATAATTAAAATAGATTAAGGATTAAAAGATTAGATTTACTAATGTATTATGTTCTGTCGCCATCGCTCTTCGGAGGAGCTGTTTTAATGAGAGGTTTCCCAACTAAGTTTGGTAGCCGCACATGCCCCTCACTTTGCTGAGGCATCGGAAATCTTTGAGGCTGTGTCATGCCTGGATGAGGCTGAAATCCACCAGGATGTGGCTGAAGTCCACCAGGATGAACAATTCCACCAGGATTATGTTGGATAATACTTGGATGCTGTTGTAATACACCTGAGCGAAAGGCTAACTGAGGATATGCACCTGGGTATCTACCTTGGGCTGCTGGTACTAAACCATGTCGGCCAGGCATTATCATACGCACCTGCGAACCAATTGGTACCTGGACAGCACCTGGAATAGGTCGGCCAGGTGTTACTTGTCTCTGTAGTGCTTCCAAGGGGAAGGCACCGTGTGGTAGGGATCCAACGGGCATTCCCCCAGCCTGAATAAGTCCTCTAGGAATTGCTCCTGCAGGTACAAGCCCTTGAGGAAGAGCACCAACTTTAGAAGGTATACTTCCTGGACGAACACCACCTGCTTGTATAGTTCTGGCTGGAATGAGTCCATGTTGCAAGGCACTCGAGCTTATAATTCCATGAGGTAAGGATTCAGAGGGTATTGCTCCTCTGGGTAAAGATGCAACAGATATTAACCCCCTAGGAAGGGAGCCAGCTTTCACCACACCCTTTGGCAATGCACTGGCTGGAATGGCACCCCTTGGAAAGGCACCTGTTTGAAGTATTCTGGGAGCTGCCACTGCTTCCATAGGAACAGGCATCCCTGGTGCCATTCCACCAACTACAACAGCTCCAGGTGGAAGGGCAAACCTTGGGACACCTGGCCTTTGTATTGCACTTGCATGAACAGCACCACCAGGTAAAGCTCCTTGCGGTATAATTCCAAGCGGGATTGCTCCCGGAGGCAAGGACCCACTTTGGACTGATCCTGCAGGTATAGATCCTGCAGGTATAGCTCCTGCAGGTAAACCTCCTACTCGTATGGCGCCAGCTGGAATTGCTCCGGCTGGTATTGCTCCTGCTGGGAATGCTCCACCTGAAAATGCTCCACCTGAAAATGCTCCACCTGAAAATGCTCCAACTGGAATGGCTCCAGCTGGAATTCCTCCGGGTTGAATAGCACTGGTAGGAATAGCGCCAGCAGGGATGGCCCCTGCTGGTAAAGCTCCAGCAGGGATCGCACCAGCTGGAAAACCTGCATGAAGAGCGCCAGTTGGAATTGCACCTACAGGAATACCACCAATTGGTAGCGTACCATGATGTAAATTAGTACGAAGAGAAGCAAATGAAGCAGGAACTACTCCTGCAGGTAACATATGTTGTGATGGTGGTGGTGAAGGTGTATGAGGACCTGGCGATGTTGCATGTCTATGAAGTGAATGGTGCTGCACCAAGTGAGCTTGAGCAAATCCAGTTTGGCTCAAGAGAGGTGAGCCAATTGCTTGATGTAAAACTTCACCATCTCGAGAAATTCCAATAAGATGTGGATGGTTTTGCAGGAGTACAGATTGCTGTGAAGGCGACATTACATCTCTTTCTATTGTAGCCTGTGCTTCAGGAGGAGGTGGTGGAGGGATTTCCCCAGATGCTATCATTTTTTGTTGTACATGAAGTCGCGCTTGTTCCTGTAAGCGCCTGTACTTTTCTATGTCTTCTGGAGGTATCATTTCTTTTATAGTCGATGCTGATTCCTCCTCTGCATTTATCACAGACTGGTCTTCTGAAGACACAGGAGGAGATGAGGTTGATGCTCCTTCATGCAGCTCATGGCTTATCTCCTCTGGGTTCTGAATATTATATAAAGCAGCTGCAACACTGTGTGGGTAGGCAACAGGCCTCTTAGCTTTTGGTGCTGGTGCTCCAGGCTTCTTAAAGAATTCCTTTCGACGCTGTATTTCCTCCTCGGACAATCCTTCAGGGTCTTCATAGTTCTTATCGTCAGAATTCTCTGGATAGTTTTCATGCAAGTCAGAATTCAAAGAATTGCTATCAACTTTATTTTTCACCTCGCCTTTATTTGAGGCATTAGTTTGCTTTTGACCACTACCACTTTCTTTTTTAGTATCCATATCACTAATGATGGTTGTGGTTGTTGGAATGGTGTGCCCTCCAGCAGCAATTTGTTGCTGTATTCCTGCAGCTGTAATCCCACCTTTCTTTTCTTTTAATGGCACTGTTTTTCCAGCTGCATTGGCACGGGCTTGTTCTTTGAGCGCTTCCCTTAACTCCTTACTACCAGACTTCCCACTACGATCACTTGATCCTCTTGAACTCCTTGGTGAGCGGGAATGTGAACGAGAACGTGAGCGAGATCTTGATCGTGAGTATGACCGTGAGTATGATCGACTCCTGCTTCGTCTATGTGACCTCCTTGATCTAGATCTTGATCTATCACTGTCAGAATCAGATGAGTACCTTCTTGAACGATCCCTAGAGCTTCTTGATCGATGACTACCATTCTCATAATCATCATCCTTTCTTGAACCACTCCGCCTACTTTTTTTCACCCTATACTCCTCATCTGAGCTTCTATCTTCACTTGAGAAACTGTGATGCCTTTTGCGACTTTTATCTTTTGATGAACTTTTAGATCGTCTTCGCTTACTGTAATGATCATCATCAGAATAATCACTATAATTATCCCCAGAATGGTGGCTGTGCTTGCCTGACTCTTTATCCCCACTCTTTGACTCTTTAGATTTGTTTCTCTTTCGTTTCCTTGATCCCTTTTTCTTGCTTTTGTGTTTTGATGAATTTGTTTTCTCTCCATCAATACCATCAATCACTTTCTTTCCACTACTTTTTTTCTTCTTTTTCTTTGATTTCTTCGCTTTCTTTTCTACAGATGTTTCTGCTGCCAGAGCATCTGGATTTGAAACATTGTTTTCTTTATTTTGAGCAGCTTGCTTAGTTATAACCTGACGTGGTAGTAATAGTGTTACTGGGTTCTTTGGCTGATTAGGATTTCCAAGATTAACATCCTCAATTTTATTTTCTACTTCACCATCTATATTTTCATTTTCCTTTGTTATCACTGGCTTTCTAAATTCAAAATGAAGTGGGTTACAGCTGTAGCATATAGATGGTTCTACCTTGGTGTAACTCACCATATCAAGGGGCCATTGTAAGATGGTACTTTCATCTTTGTTAAGGACTCGTAGGAGTTTATCTTTAGGACATGGTTTCCATTCTTTTCCTACAGTGTCATTTACTTCTTCATTTACTTTTTTATCATTTCCATCGCCATCTTCCTCAGCATTTCCATTTTTTCCATCAATTGAGCCTCCACCAGACGTTATCTTTTTATCTTTATCCTCATTGTCATCACCATCACCAGAGCCACCATTTGTGGCAGTGTTGTCACCACTACAATTAGAAGAATTGGCAGCACCACTAGCATTGTTGTCTGTGGCTTTTCCATTTGTTTCTTCCTTTTTATTGTTTCCTCCCTGCGATCCTTGCTTGTTTTCATTACTGCCATCCTTCTGTTCATTACCCGATGTTTCAGATTCTTGAGCTATAGTTTGGCACTGAGATGCTCCTATTGTTAAATTTCCTTGTGGTATATTTCCAATTGAAACTTTGATGTCATTTTTAAAAACCTCTTCCTTGGTCTTTACTTTTGATTTTTCTGGTAGTACTTCAGAATTTAAAGTTTCTTCTACTCCAAGAATGTTTATATTATTATCACATTCTAAATGTTCTTCTTTAGGCTTGTGAATAATATGTTTTTTCTGTTCTGAAACAGTGTTCAATGGCTTTACAACAACTGACTTTATCTTGCTTTCCTTTGTGGGGGGATGCTGATCGTACGAACTCAGTCGAGATTTTTTTGTCAATGTAAAGGTGATCTGTGATGATTTCTGAGATGTAACATCTTCTTGGGCTTTAGGGGAAGTGCTACGGAACTGTGAAAATGCTTTCAGACGTTTACGAGCAACCTCTTTTCCTCGTTGACTTTCATTTTGTTTTGAAAGCTCTTGTTCCTTACAAGAGATATCCTCAATTAGTTGACCTGAAGTCTGTTCACCATCATCATTTATATTTTGTGGTAAAGTACTTTCTCTTTCTTCCTTTACAGTAATTTTTGCAAATCTATTGGCAGAACTTATCAGGCTGCAAGAAAAAAAACAAAAAAACAAAACCAATAATTACATGACTGTTTAGTTTCTAATTTGCTCATGCCAGTGCAATTGTATTAGAACACAAATTCACTAATGAGCTTCATTTTGCATTGTCTCTGAAATATAATTATAATAGTATATTTCCACATGGTCAAGGTACAGATAAATAATCCATAATCTTTTTAAACAGTTATACAGTAGAACCTCGATTTTACGTACAGTATGGGACCGAAGGGCGTACGTAAATCGGGGGATTCGTAAAATAGAGGTTGGGTTAAATTTGTGGTAACCTTTGACCTAATACGTACGTAACGCTCAATATACGTATGTATGAACGAACGATGTTACCTAGCTAGGCTATACCTAGCCTCTAGGCCTACGAATAAAACCATGTGTTTAGTGTTTTTATTCATCACTTTACGATGTCATAAGAAAGTGTTCAAATAAAACCATGTGTCAAGTGTATTAATTCATCACTTTGTCTTTTATTTAACTACAGAACATGAAAATATTGTAAGATTACCTATAGGACAAAGGTATAACTTGGGAATTCCCCTTCATGCCTATTCTAAACAACAGAAATGTGGCATTGTCTGGGCCTGTTGAGACAAACTAAGCCCATGTGCACTGGGCGAGCCAACCAATTAGCGTTTGTGTACGAAACTATGCCTACTCAGCTTCGTGTAGAAAATTAGACCAGACAAGTTTTTCCATGGTTTGCCACACGAAGCTAAGGAGGAAAGCAATTATTTTGAGCACCAACGGTAGTTGTTCATCTCAC